CACACCACTTTAAAAATTCCTTGTGATTATACATCACATTTGCTAAATTTACTTATATAACCTTATATTAAGCACTTTAATGAACCATGCTACAGGCTTACGGAAGTACTCTGTTAATGACTGTCAGCCTGCAGACTGGCTAAAAGAATGTCACACATATATAAATCCCTAAATCCACAATGAAGCCATCAACTGACATTCAGACACACACACTTAAAATCCATCATATTATCTCAGACTTCCCAGTGACTATGAGACAGAAAGAAGGAAGGAGTGACCATCGTAATAACCAGCAATTTTATCAAGAAGAAAAGAATATGATCAGTCAATTGAAATCAGCTGCTGTGACACCTGGCACTCTCTAAAGAGTGTCCACCATAGCTGCTGCATGCAGAGAACAGTAGGAGCTACTGGTAGGTGAAGGTCTGGAACACGACAAGGACCAAGTACAAAAATTACTTCATATGGCAAATACTCTAGAGCACACTGGTCAGTCTCCTTCATACAAATTATGCAGGAAATAAAATGTCAGTTGAATAATGATAAACAATGAAAGATGGAGCTACTTTTTAAAAATGCTGATTTCCTGTAATGTTTATCTACATGTAAAGTATAAGAACCTCCCTATTCAGAAAATACTGTTTTAATTTGTTATTAAGGAAATGATAAAAAGCTAACTTTTTCCCTGTTAGTTGATCCAGCGAGCTCAGTAATGTTTCACTGAACACATCATGGGGTTCTTTTTCAAGCTTTGAGTATGTGCATTCAACACTGACAAACAGGCATGGCACAGGATCAAGCCTTATCTTCTTCCTTGGAATGCTCCGTCCACAGTTGAACCTGGGATGTTAACCCACAGCCCTCCAAGCTTCTGATTACTCGTGCCTCTGAACTACTGTTGCTTTCATACATGTAAGTAATTTTGACTTGATTTTTTTTACAGAATATGTAAATATGGAAACATACCAAACCAAAATTGTACACAAACCCTCAGGTGTCTGGAATTACATATTATGGTCACTACGTTTTACTTTTTATTTACAGTATCTCAGTCTGAATGGAATGTCTTCTACAATCGCTCTTTAAAGTAACTTTGGTTTTGGTTATTTACCAAAACCTGAAAATACAGTACAACATAACTGTAATGTGTATTAGGGTATATACTACGGAATATAAAAGACAGATTTATTTTATTTTTGAAGATCAGTAAAAACTATAATTAAATTTGGTAAACACCAGAACTCTTGGGTACAGAATACATTTCCACCACTACTACTGCAGATCCAGCTCCACTGGAAACCACAGTGATAGAAGTACTAGAACAGACCAAGCATTGGCAATCCCCAATCTCCTAACTAGAACATTAAAACTGGCTTAAAAAAAAAAATTAAAGTGTACAGGTTTCAGGGATTTTTTGGGATTTTTTTTTAATTCCCCAGCTCCTGATTAACCATTTACTGTTGCTACTGCTACCAACAGTTGGACTGCTGAACTGGCTAAGTTTGGTTATTCAGAAGTTGTCCCTGCAGGGTTTTTTGTCTGCATATTTGTTCATATTTTTCAAGACAGTTCAAGTTCATCTGGAACATCTTTGAGATTAATGTCACCTTGCCGGTGGTTAGATTTCTTGCTGAATTTGCTCTCTTCCAATTATCCCTTCAGGACTTACAAAAAGAAACCCAAACAAAACCAAATAAAACCAAGAAAAAGAATTGAACTCTGGCACAGTATTTTCTTACACTTGCAGTTTTTTGAATTTTATGCCTAACTTAACTAAAATGCTCCACCACTGTAGGACAGTGAGTAAAGGTCTGTCTTTTATCCACCTCAATTCTCTCCCAGGTAAGTTCCAGTTCCAGTTTTGCTGTTCATAAATCACTCTTACTTTAGCTTTATAAGGTTTGAAAACAAATATTTGCTGATAATTTGAGAAAGGTCACTTACATTGTTCAGCAGTGTTTGGCATGAGCAAACTGAAGCCTGAAATACATTCACTGAGCAGGAAGGAAGTTCGATCAGCTCTCCTCCTTAGATTTATCAGATTAATACAAAAATTATGATGCATAACCCCATCACAACTTAACTCAAATTTCCTCAAAGGTAAAGTAATAGTATTACAGTGGTTGATTAATTACATAGACCATGTTTTAATCCAGGAAACTGCAAATTGTCCTTAGTGCTAAAACAACTATATCAAACAGGAATCAATCAGGTAGGTAGATTTCTTGAAATACAACTGCAATACATAATATTGCTGTCATAACTAACCAATTATATTTTAATAGCCCCACCAAAATATTTAATCGCAAAGCTCATGGTAGACCTATATGGCACTCCTCACCTATCCCACTCCTCAGCAGGGCTAATGAGCCCAAGAAGCCTGCGCTGCTGTATGCTGTACTCCTTCCACCAGCTCCAGACAGCTCAGTGACAACTAGTTTGTGTTTCTCTGTGCAGCACTGTATGGTGTCACATGATCATATCCTCAAGAGAAACAAAGGGAATTTAGCAAAAGAGAGCACAGATACAGACTCCACAGCGTTCGCCAACACCAGGGTATGTCCTGCGTGAATCACATAGCACATGTATGACACACTAATGCCCACAAAATGGAATAGTCACCAGTTCAGAGCATGCACATGTACACATATATATATACACTATAAAGCCCTCAAAACACACCACCGAACAAAATGAGATATCTCTATCCTGAGAGAACCTGACTTTCTGATGGCTTCAGAAAATATGTCCTTCCTGTAATTTACTTCAGGATACAAGAGATTTGATCACAGTTACACAAAGTTTGTAGCTTCTTTATACATAATCATTCTCCAATAACCAGAAAACTTAGGCTAACCTAATTCTAATTCTATACCAACATAGAAACATGGACCCATGTGTACAGGCATGTACACACGCCATCACCATATATACCTGGTTCATAAGATTCCTACTTGTTTTAATCATATAGAAACATCATCCCCAAACCAAACATCAGGAAGTGCCTGGATGCAGAAGGATTACATCCTCCATGCTATTTTGAAAATGTAAATAAGTTACGTAATACCTGGTGACATATCACATACCTGGTCACAGTTTGTTAATAATCTTCTCCAAGTATTTTGGAGATAAAACAGAAAATCCATCCTTAAGAAACATTTTGCCCACTGGCATCAGATTTACATGGCATATTGCACGCACATTTAATAATTCTTAAGAACCTTTTCTAAAACCAGTCTATAATGAAACCAAATATATTTTTATAGCCCACCTATAATGACTTTAAAAAGCAGATTTACAGCAGATCTTAAGCATTAAGTTCTAATGTCATAAATAGCATAATAAATATCACTGTTTTCAAAGCCCTTTACAAGAATTATCTGACTTCAAGACGTGAAAATGGATTGCTGCTGTTTCGTAGAAAGAGAAACAGACCTAAAGCCTCACAATGGTATAATGAGGGATATATTTAGCACTTGCTGAATGCATCCTAACTGCTATTTTCCAGTATCTGTATAGCTGGCACTCAACTCTTCACTGTTTTGCCAGAATTTTGGCCAACAGCGAACCATTTATACTATATAAACTGAAGCTATTTTTAGTGATTGTCAGATTTGAAGACTAAAGATCTCTGTAGTTATTCCACCTTCCCCTTCTTGCACATAATTAATTAAAACAAATGTTTCCCTAAAGAACTTTGAAGAAGAGGCTGAATTAACAAACTGTTTAAGTGAACCAGAAGCAAGCCAATCCCATATGAATACAGTCTGTAATTAGCCAAAATGCTCTATTTCGCTGTTCACAGTGAGGCTGAGGCTCAATAAAAATTAAACACTGATGCAGGCAAGGCATTCCCATGGGGCTCACATATATTAATACTTTACCACTCACTAGTTGCTCTATGTCAAAGAAACTGGGACACAGCTTGAAAATAGCTTTCCATTTTATTAAATAGGCAGACAGCCATTTGTGATAGCTATTTTCTCTTGTTTCACATCTCTAGTGTCAGAAACAGGCTAAGTAAGTACCAAAATGCAGCTCCTAACACACACATGTTCATAGTGGTGCCAAGCAGATACGACTCAGGTTCTCACTGGTCCAAGAATGACATTTCATAGACTCTGCATGTGGTCACAGTTATGCATTTGGATAATCCCAAACCGCTAATCCCTAGCACTGGCTTTCCCAAAACCTCTAAGTATGAGGTCATCAGTTTCTTAAAAACAGATCTGAATTTAGTTCTTGGCTTGATTAGGATGCAGCCAGCAGTCCACACTTCAGTTTTAACCTTTTTAAGCAAAAATGCAGCATAATTTAGGCAGGTCCATTACTACTCTGCTGAAGGCAATTTATAGGAACTTGACTACATAGAGTAAAATAGTTTGGAACTATGATTATTTTTACTTCAATGAGACAGAATCTAGAGAACAATGAGTGTTTATGAAAACCCTCTTTCCATCTACAGATTTTCAATCTCAACCTTACATTTTATCAGCTCCTTCAAAACCCTCAGAAACTGAGGCACTCAGCATCTCTTTTGGGTCAAGTTAAAATAAATGCTATATCAACTTCTCTATTCAGCCAATTAAAAAACTTAAACATTAAATATGTAGCTAATACAATGTTTAGTTTATCAAATAGTAAGCCACCGTTCAAAAAAAAGAGTATTTATGAAGGCTGTACTACGATATCATCAGTTGATAGAGCTGTAAGCACCTCAAGCTGCAACTGCAAAATGATTCACTGCCTTCAAAAAGCATGTTCCAAAATGAACGGGCAGATGTTCTGAAGTTTCAGTTCTTATCCAGAAATCCTGTATTATGTTAAGCTTTTATAATTTGTTTTTCTCTGTCCTTACAAGGCCATCATGACTTCCACTTCTGCAGCAGAACTCAGCCTCTCATCAATGGAACGTGAGGATCATTCAAAGAGAAAATGAATGCAGATCACCACTTTATGGCTTTAATTCTCATAAACTTCAAATCCTAGGCTATACTCACCTTTCTCAGGAGGAAGCAAATACGCTCAATATTTCTCAGTCGTTCTCTCTGTCAAGAAGTAGTTGGAAAAAGGTAGGAGATTAGCTGGTGTTGTAAACGAAACACAATATGTTACAATTACAATGGGTCAAGATCATAAGTAATGGATGCAGGAAAGCAACACACTTTACTAATCTGCAATTATAGTATTCACTTCTCTCTTACTGCTTGCAAGCCAAATGATTTACCCATTTCAAAGTCCAAATAAGTTATTTTTTCATTGTACTGGGTTTAACAACATAAATATGGGATTCAAGTCTGTGTTAGCCTTGAGCCAGAAGCTGCAACATCTTTTTAAGTCAGCATTTGTGTTTCTATCTAATTGTGCCAACTTATACCACAGTGATTTGGTTTTGCATTTTTAGGTACCCAACCTCTGGTTGTAAGGTAATTCTGAATGGGAAAAACAACTGCAAACTTGGTATGGCAGCACTTCCTCTGCCACTAAGATGGTGCCTAAGCAACATGTGGTATTTGAATTTAACCCATTAGTGAAGAATATCTGAAATATCCTAGAAATGCCACTCTAAACAACAGATGCATTTATAAATACTGAAAGTCCCTGCAATCAAGCAATGATGACTCAAAAGATGCTCTTAAGGTCAATTCACATCAAGAAGATAAGTCAAAGACAGGTTTGCTTTTAAATGGCTTATAATGAGAAATTCACTAGCAAAATCAGACTTCACTCTGCATAGACCCATCACTGGACTTACTGTGAAAGATTCTACTGTTGGTTACACTGCAGAAGGCAGAGTGGTTTTGTTGTCATCAGAAGACTATCTGGTAATACTTTCAATTACACATGGGAAAAAATATTCTGAACAATAACCTTTTTTAAACAGGTAATGTAATATACCATTGTGAGAAGCTAACTCTCCCTTAGCTTTTTGCTTTTCAAATGTTTTAAATTTGCTCCGAGTTTTATTTCTATTCTCCAAATAAATGTCTCTTTTCCTTTCCTGTCCCCAAGTTTAATCCATTTGAAAAAAAACCAAAACATTTCGGAAATACAGGGAGACACTGGCAGCTTGATAAGCACCAGACAAATACTGTGCTTCTCTCTGGTGTCTAAATTCAGAGATTTCAGACTCACAGTTGCAAACATGAGAATGGACGTGTGTGGATGTGCCTGTGAAGCTGCAGAAAGCTTTCTTGCCTTTAGCAGGAGGTAAGTGGAGAGGGAAAGATAATCCTCTCAGTTCCCTTTAGAAGACAGATGCTTAACTGCAGCTGGCCTTGGAGAAGTAGGAAGTCTATCTTTGAACTGTAAGTAATAGAGTGTTAACAAGGAAACTTGAATTAATTTCTCAGTACTGGCATTGGTTTTGCTCCTGATTTCTCCCTAATTCAGTGTTCTTTTGCCAAAAAGGCTCTACCCTCTGTCATGAAAACATTGTGAAAAATACATGAGTAAACATCAGACATTCTTATAGTGCAATGAAGAAAACTACCCCACCAAATAAGTACAATATGGGCATGAGCAATAATGCATAGGGAAAAAGGAAAATACACTTGACCAAAGATACAAGAAATAAGAAATACCTGCTAAAAATCTTCCTTTTATATCAATATAAAAGGCATCAACATGTGTACCATGCAGAAGAAAGCAATTTGAGATTATTACTTGAGTTATTACAGAAAGTTTCATAAAAGAGAGTCAAATATGTCAAGTGATCACAGAGTGCTTTGCTGTGTTTTACTGGAAACTCTACAATTACCTTTCTGATTACACTACTAATATGACTGAAACAGGTACTTATTAACTTTTTTTTATCCTGGAGACCAATTAAGTTACCATTTTAAAATAAAAGGAAATTATCCCCATGGAGCATCTTAGAAGTTCTAGGAAGAGAAGTAACTACTGGAATTTCTTTCATATAAATATACATTTCTTGTGTGGAGTTCTCAAGCTGGGAAGTAAAAACAGACAAAGTGAATTCAAAATCCGATTACTTCCAGTAAATTCAAAACCAGATTACTTCCACTGAAGTCCTCTATAGGATTTCTTCACATAATTTATTTCTTCTGTTCTCATTCTTTGCTTATGTGTTAGTGAACAGTAAATAAGTCTTCTTATTCAAAGATTCATTTAAAGATTATGCTTAAAATCATCAGTGGTCTAAGGAGTACCACAAATCCTCTTCTGAGTTATGAAACAAGGTTAAATGGCAAAGTACTAGCTACTGAATCTCATTATCATTTGTAGGCAATTCAACAACTTGATACTATGTAGAGATCAAATTCAGCAGCTGTCATAATCATTGTAATTCCCACTGAGATGACAGGGAGCCAAGTTCTTCTCTCAGTTCTGGTGGTACAAATCTGATGCATCTTTAACTGTAGTCAGCTAAATCACTCTAGATTACAGGAATTTTCATGTGTTTAAAAATAGGTTGCATTTGGGTTCATTAGGTAAAACTGAGTTTACAGTCCCAGGGTGATATTTAACCTTTTCCACAGCAGATGCAGGAGCAAAATGTGTTATTTACTCCTAAAGCACAGGAGAATTTAAAGCCCTGCCATAGGACAAAGAGGTCTACGAATGCACCTCTTATCAAATCCCTTCAAGTTTTTCACACATTGATAGAGATAGTATGGGGGCAGGTGGTCACCCCATGCTTGAACACAGAGAAAGCAAACTATTTCAAAGAGGAAAACGTGCACAGAATGAAGATATAAAAAGAAAGCATTAGCATCACATCACACAACCTTCAGGTTTTGAAATACCCAATTATTTTTCTGCCTTCTTCAGCAAAAAGGAAAGCTATTAGCATAAAGAGTCACCATCTGGCTTCCTAAGACCGGCCCCATAAATCAATTTTCCGAACTACAGTTTACTTCACAACAGACTCTACATTCATTTCCACACTCATACTTTGACTGACAGCTCAGTGTATCTCCCTTTCTTTAGTAGCTGTTGCTTAGCAAGCCACTGGTTGTACTTACTGCGTGGGCTGGGTTGCACTGATCTATTGGGCTTTTGAAGTCTGTCCGAAGTTCATCAAAGGCAATTATCTGAAAAACAATTTTTCAAATATTGTAATGAATGCTCAAACATTTACTTTTCCTTTAATAAGATGCATTGGCTCCCTTCCTCAATTTCCAGAGAAAATACGGGAAACTAGCTTTCCTGAGACGCTCCTTTAAAAGCTAGCTAGTTACAACAAAACCTGGGATGCTCCTACATATGACACCTAGAACCCACTAATTTGTCTCTCTGTAAAATCATATCAATAGTCTTTTCAGGATTGTTGTTCTCCAGATTTCTTCCTTCATATCAGCTTGAATTTTTTTCTCAAACTTCCAAATGACATAAAACTATTTCACAAATGGATACATCTCCAGACTTGATGGAAAAAGTCACCAACTGCCCAAAACAGAGACATGCATTGGATATGCTATTCCAGGTTTAATACATACACAACAGCCCCTTTTTATTAGTTGTTAAACCTACTTCAGATAGTAATTCTGAATTAGTATCAGCTTAATTATTATTAAGCCACAATTCATTATTAAGCAAACTCCTCAACATGTAAACTACTCCAGAGCAAAACATGCCCTTCCCAACCTTTACCTCAGACCTCATTAATGGAGACATGCTTTTTGCTTGTGTCCTTTCGTTTCCTCCATTAACTGATGGATTCAGACACACTGGTAATTATTGCCTGCTTTTAAAGTACAGCAGATAAAAGCGCCCATAAAAATAATAAGAAAAACAGCTTAATAGCCCCTCTGTATACTTCTTTCAAAGATCTCAAAGCACATTCTTTATTTTATGTTTGTATTCTAGTAATACCTTTTCTTCTGCTTGGTTCATCCAAGGAATGAAAGCTCACTATGACAGGCACCACATAAATACATGTTAAAAAAATGATTCCTCTTTAGACAATTTACAACCCCAGAAAGTATTTGTTCTCATTAAAAAATGATGGAAGTACAAGGTAGCAGTTAGGTAATTAGTGCATAAGTGGAACAACCATTCTATGACATGTTACAGCATGCCTGCTGTTCAAAAAAAATAAGCAAGTGTCAGCACACACCTTCTGTATAGGTAAAATACATTCATTTTACAAATATGGAATGCAAGAGCAGAAATCCTGAAAATTACCAATCCATGATTCATATAATAATCTGGTGAGAGGCTTGAGAATAAAACCTAGAGTTACAATCCACAAACCTAAGCATTACTCCACATCCCACTCTAATGCTGCATTCATCACATTAAAGCACATTTAAAATCAGAAGTGTGGCATTTTACAAGAGCACTCTACGGAATTCAATTTATTCAACTATGACAAGTCAAAGCACCAGAATAAACCACAAAGGGAACCATAAAATGTGATTATAAGTGAAGCACTTCTCCCAATGGATGCAGTATCTCTACCAGTTAGGAATTAGATCTGCAATGTATGTTTATATTAAGGTAAAAGAGCAACTAACAGAACCTCTGAGAGGGTTGGAGTACAAGCAGAATGAGGCTCATGATACCTCTATATTTAATACTTCTTGAACAGGTTTTCACATTTTATTTTCATATATCTTATAAACTTTTCAATATCTTTTAGTTTTCCCACCTAATTTGATCCAGGGTAGTCATTAATGCTATTAAACATACATACACATGGACACCAGTGACCTCATCTCTCCGAAGGCCACACCATAAACAGAGCATTCTGAAGAAAAATTACTAGCTTCTAGTCACAAAGTGAAACAGATAGCTAAGTGGATAGCATTTTGGAAACACTTCCAGGGACTGATCTTACATAGAGAAGAAATTTATTTCTATTAGAAAATATTAATGTTGTACACAGCTTCAAAGAAAGATAATAAGGATCATTTGATATTTGTTTAGGAACTCCAATAAAACAAAACAAGTTATCTGTTTATCTGCAAAGTTATATCAGAAAAAAAAAAAGCATCATGCTTAGCAATAATTTTTATCATTACTACATAAAGGGTCCAGGGATGGAAAGGCCAATGGACATCAAACTGCCTTCTAACTTGGGGAATTTTCCCTCTGATTCCACACTGCAAGTCCAGAGGAGGCCATGAAGATGGTCAGAGGGCTGGAGCACATTCCATATGAGGACAGGCTGAGAGAGTTGGGGTTGTTCAGCCTGGAGAAGAGAAGGCTCCAGGGAGACCTTAGAGCTACAGGAGAGATGGGGAGGCACTCTTGATGAGGGAGTGGAGTGATAGGACGAGGGGTAACTGTTTTAAGCTGAAAGAGGGGAGATTTAGATTAGATATTGGGAAGAATTTTTTTCCTGTGAGGGTGGTGAGGCAGTGGCCCAGGTTGCCCAGAGAAGCTGTGGATGCCCCATCCCTGGAGGTGTTCAAGGCCAGGCTGGATGAGGCTTTGAGCAACCTGGGCTAGTGGAGGGTGTCCCTGCCCATGGCAGGGGGGTGGAACTTGATGATCTTTACGGTCCCTTCCAACCCAAACCATTCTGTGATTCTATGATTGCAAAACATTGCAGGAAGTTTGTTCTGCCACTGCTCTAGCCATGCTTTTTTCTGTTGATAGAAGTGTACTCGTGGGTGTTATCCACCTAAAAAATCTAAAGGTTTATAAAAATACTGGTTGCAGTCTCTGGTGATTCACACCATCTGCAAATCTTGTAACTCTCAAGTGTAAGTCAGCAAGGAGTTTGCCCCAGTTTAAACATGTACTGAGTGGATGAGGTTGTGATGATAGCGTATGTTTCAGTACAGCTACAATTGCAATTATATTTATAAAATTTGTTTTCATTACCCACACTCTCTGTGCTCATCTCTCCAGACAATAACAGCTTTGCATAATGAAGTATTCACATAAGATTAAACCTGAATTTTGTTTTCTTCCTCTGCTTATGCACTCATCAAACTGAAAACTTCAGCTATTAATGGTAGGAATTAATTAAGATCTCTCATTTTTAGGGAAGATACCTTTTTGTTAATCACTGAGCTCTTACAAAAATATATTTTAATTGAGAATGTGATATTTTAGAGTGGCAGTGGAGTTGGTGTGGGCGTGAATGCAGTGAGAGCAAAGAAGTTGGATATTATTGCTTATTGGCATCTTAGAAAACTTAAGATAAAACAGAACTTGATGACAACCCCACTAACCACAGAACAGAGCACTAACACTTAACATATGTTTCCTTGCCACCACCCTGTCGGTGCATCACAATCCATCTTGAAGAAACTGTCTTTAATTTCATTTAAACAATTTGTCTACCCCTCCACTCTTATTCACAGCTTTCACAGCACAAATACCAGCAGTTCATAGGCTGTTTGCAAGTCAGCACATAGACAGAAGGTGGACAGGTTTAAGAGCATGCTGCGCTCCTAAACTTCCTGCCTGCTCATCGGCTGCTGTACAGACATACTGACTGCGTTTGGGAAATAGTGAATGTGTGAAAGACAGTCAGGTAAGAATGCAAAAGGACCTGAAATGGAAGCCAAGTCACTGCCTTGACACGATGGAGTAAGGGGAGCCCACAGACAGATGCAGAGAACAGTGATATTGACAAGGTGACAGACTGAGAGAACAATTTTTGCTACCCAATTCTTATAATGATATGAAATGAATCTGAACAAGAAATTTAGCTATATGGTTGGTGAACGTGGGTTCAAGACGGTTGTTTCTCTTCCCTCTTTCTCTTCTGGTTGAATAAACCTCTTTCATGCTACCAATCAACATATACACAGCAAGGAACACCCCCCACACTACTGCAAAATATCCACAAGTTTAAACGTACATGCCCTGAAAAAGTACTAGATAAAGTCAGAAAGACAAAAATGATCATTCAACTTAAACATTACTAATGTTGTAATTTTACATGGTTACATTAACCTAATAGGTGAAATATGCAACTCCATGCATAAACCCTTAATCCTTGCTTATCCTTGACAATGTTCCTTCCCTCGTCCCTTTCTTAGACTGTTTTTAACTGCTTATCTCTGAAACCCAGCAAGTGCTCTGCTATTTGGAACAGCAATTTTCATTAGCCAGATGGGAGTATCAGTCAATGTCTCAATGTTATCTCATATGACTTAGTTCCCTGCCCTTCTCCATATGATCTCAGCTACAAACCATCCTCATATTTCAAGTTGCCATCTTAGGGCATATTTGCATCCTAATTATATTTAAATCCCTCTAGAAGTTGCAGTTACCTGATCAGTGAAGCAAGGACAGGACATAAAGCAAAATAATTTGAAGTGATCTTTGCACTGTCAAGTATAATTCTAGTGGAAATCACCCCTCCTGACTGTTAGTAAGAAGAGCTCTTCTCTATTACAGAGTGACAGACAGTAGTTGCTTAGAAAGATTATTCAAAATTACATGAATGGATGGGCAACCTGTCTCAAAAGCAAAAGAATGTTATCCTTTTTGTCATATTTTATTCCTATGTCTATAACCTTTTGTTAAACATCTATTAATAAAGAAAAAAAAAGGCTCAAATCTCATTTTTCATCATACCTGCTCCTCAGGTATGATGTAACTCAGTAGCTTCCCAGATGAGCATATCTGAAATGCTGGTTTTGATGAGAACATTAACACTACAGCCAAATAAAGTGCCAAGAGGAAAGTGAAATGAAAGGTATTCCTTTCTTCTCTTATCTCTCCCAAATGTATTTACTTTTCTGAATATTACACTTATTAATTCACCACACATTAATAAAAGCAAACAATAACAACTAACAATGCCTTGCAGTTATAAATCTCCCTTCCAGGCAATGAAGGCCTTAACAAATGCAAGGAAAAGACAATTTCCATTTTTTATGCAAGGGGAAAAATGAAGCTCAGAGAAATTAAATGATTTCCACAATCAGGGCAGAAGAACCAAAGCCTCCGGATTGCCGCATCATATAAAATGTTAGAGGAAACAAAGAACACTGTCAGTAGACTAATAACATATGAGAAGTGAAACTACCCATTTCTGTCTGATTATTGTACTGTTGTTCATCTCCAGAGCAGAGCATTGCTTTAAGCAGTGCCTTTTTGGATTAAGATTGCAAATGGTTTCAAA